AAATATTTTAATATTTCAAAGGAAAAAATGTACATTAGCTAAAATATGGATTTAAATAAAGGATTTAATTAAGTAAATTTGTATTATTTTTTCTTTCAGAATTTTTATAATCTAGAATTGTTACAGATACCATCTTTGATTGTAACAGTTATAATTTATAATAATTACAATTATTATTTTCGATAGTAATCGTTACCATTATTAATAGTAACTATTACAATTGTCAATGATACCACCTATTATTTTGTTACTAATTAATTTTATTACCATTTTAGATAGTAGGAGTTACTATTTTTGTATAGTAGGTAGTATAATTAATTTTTCTCCGTGTACAGGGATAGAGTATTAAGTCTCATAAAAAGAAAGAGTCCTGTGATGACCCAAATGTCCGGGGTCATAAAAACAGAGTCAGGACTGCATTTCCTTTTTAAAGCATTTAACCCAAATGTTGAATAAGCTGAATCAGCAATGAGATTTTATTTTAAATTCAAAAAACGTTAAAAAATAATATAAAAGAATTACAAATTAAGATTCATTTTTGTACGGAGAATCCAACAAATCCAATATTCTACGAGAAAATTATAGGAAAAAAAAATGTTGAATTTTTGCTTGTTTCGCAAGTTCCACGTTCTACATCTTTTTTTGAGTAATTCCATTGTAGAGCTTTGCCAGACGATTTTATCCTCTTTACTGTAAGCGGTTTACAAGCCTTGTACGATGGTTTTTTAAAGAGTTATCGTCAATCAAAGTAAAATCGTCTGAGGGGTAATTAATTACTCGAGAAATAATGATCGTACAGAAAATGTAATTAGGATTTTTCAAACTCTAGGGCATTCTTCACAGGTCGTATCTTTTAGTTATTGAAAAAAAAATTTTTTCCGATGCGAAAATGTCAAATGGAAAAGAGGTAAAAAATAGCGAAATTAAGAAAGTGATTGTTAACATAACTTGGCAAATAATAATGAGTAGACTAATAATGTTTACTGTTTCGTTCGACCTTAAAATTTCTCTAGCAAACAGAAAATATCAAAGCGCTGTGACTTTTCTGTGATTATGTTTAGAACGATTGAGTATTTTGTTTTTGCTAATAAAAATAACTAATTTCACGGTATGTTCCATTTTTTTTAGGTTTCAAACTTTCATAACTTATTTCAGCAATAATCTACTTTTTTTTTTGCTAAAACTTTTTTTCAATATGATATTTTTACTCATTTGATTTTTTTATTGCGAAACTGTATTTTAAGAAAATCTTTTCAATAGTTTGACATCAAATAAAACTTAATAAATTTTAAGAAATGTTGAAAGTAACATTTTCGATAAAGTATTTTTTTCAAATTACTTAGAAATATGTAAGCCGTATCAAAATTCGTTCAGTTATTTGATATCATAAGTACAATTAATTATTAAAAATATTATTTTGAATTTCTTGATATCAACAATAGCCTTAAGCTTTTATAAAGTTATCCCATTTCATCCCTTGTCAGAGACTACAGTCTATTGATTCTTCTTCAAAGTATATGTTAATTTGAATAAAAAACGAATTTTTCAAAGTTTTATGGCATTTCCATCCACACTCGGGATTAAAATTTACAAATTTTGGAAACTGGGTTGTCTATAATGAAAGGAAATCTTCTTATTTATAAGAGAATAATTTTCAAATCACATTGTAACAATCTCCATTTTTTTCTGTATTCTTTTGATGAAAGCAATTGAAAAAAAAAAATGATGTTTGTTTGTAAGAAAGAAATCAACTTTTTCTTTGAACAAATCGAGATTAAAGTATGGATCTAAATCTAAAAATAAGTATTGGTATTATAATAATATATTTTCTACTTACGACACTTGTTTTTATTATAGTTTATATCATCTGTAAAATTCTGATTATGAAAATAGAATGCTTCTTATTTTAGGAAGTACTCATTCTTAAATAACCACTGAACTTAATGAGTAAGTAGTTTTGAAGTTGTGAGAGCAGTTCACATAGTCATAATGTGAAACATCAATATTATCTTTCCCATCTATTTACTACAGAAACATCTAGGCTTTAATATATTAATAACTAGACGAAATAAAAAGTTTTTTAAATAATGAAATTTTTTTATAATTAAAATAGAATATTTACTTTATTTAAAGAGAGTTTCAATTTATAAGAACATTTCTTTGATTCAAGAATATTTATTTTACAATACAGAATTTCTTCTTTCTATAAATGTTATGATAAGTTTTATATTTCGCAGATGACAAAGTAAATAAATAAATATTTTGTACCAAATAAGCAAATCTAAAGTGACGTTGTTTACCCCTCAATAATAGAAATATAGTTCAATGTTAAAACGATCGATAACTATAATGCAGCTGTTCACTCACTACATACACTCATTTCAACTATCATGCCAACTTATTAACATACTAACAATTTACAACGTAAATTAAATAGTTAACTTCTACTCGGTTCTTCTTTGCCAAATATCAGGTGAATTTGCATGCTAGCGACTGGTTAAATCTTATTCGTCGATCACAATGATTTATTTTTTTTAATTGTTCCAAGTAAAAATGGAGAGGAAAACAAATGAAATGAAAATAAAAAATAAAAAGCCTCATCATTATCCACAGCAATTTTAAAGCTTTTGTACTGGGACATGTACTTATATTTTACGTGAGAGTCCAATTAAACTAAAAGGGTCAAAGATAAGAGAAACGTCGAGGCTTACAGGTCACATTGTCGTCACGATCTACTTCTGTAAACTTTGTGATGTGTGATAATCATCTGATGAAGCGTAACTTTGCCAAGTTCTCTTCAAACTGCTTAACAAGCAAGAATAAATTACATGATCAATAACTTATTTAGTTAATAATCCAATTATCAACTGTCGCAACTACATTTAACAAAAGTTTTATAATTATTTTGGAAGGGTTCCACCTACAACTAGAGTTCTCAATAATTTAATAAGCATCATGCGAAATTTTTTACCAAACTTCCTGCCCAATCTTTTCTCTAATTCTTGTTTTGCTACCAGAACGTTACCTTGATATTTTTTCGCCATTTCTTTAACTTTTTCCATAAATCGGGATCCGAAGCTGTATTTCCGTAAATGCTCTTTGAGAATTCTTAACAAAACGGACATTATATAATCACCTGAATCAGTGAGTAATTTTTTAACTTTTCCGATCAAGAAATCTAATCTTGCTTGATCTTGTTCTATTTCTTCCAATGATACTTCTCCTTCTTCTTCAGGATCAACCGGTGTTTCAGTGGTAGTTCCATTTTCTTCATTTTTATTCGACTCATCAGTTTTAGAATTTTCTCCATTATTCAACGTATTCTCTCCATTCGCTGTTCCAGAATTAGCTTCCGTCGTTTCCTGATTTGCTTTTAAGAATAAGAGTATGTATTATTAGTCCGCATTTGTTATTTTTTATGAGAACAGATAGTCTTCTTCATTTTTTTTACCTGGAAGATTCGGAGTTTCTCCAGTTCCTGAATCGACTAAAAATAAAACTTAATATATATAGTATACATACAAAATATGCACACTGAGAAAAAAAATTAATTTTGAGATAAAAGGGCATTCTTGTTAAAAAAATTAAAATTTTTGAAAATTTTCAACACTTTTTTTTTAGCTGAAGAAATCAAATTTTTTCATAAAATAAAATTTTTTCCATTTAGAAAGAAACAATTCGAAAACAAGTCAAAAAAAATTTCATTCAAAACTTAAAAATTTTAATGACAAAAAATTAATTTTATTTTAATATATTTAAACGATTCTACTAACAAAAGTTCTCTTCTTTCTGAATTGTAATTTTTTTTCTCAGTGTAAAGGAACAAAAGTATATTTTTAACAAATTTACGAACCTCTGTAATTTATATTAGTACTATGCTGAACATTTTTTATCCGATTAACAGAATTATTATTCAATCGCTTCTTATGTAATTCGCGTTTCTAAAATCATTCAAATAAATATTACATTAATTATAACAGAAGTTCCCCAAATAATTTATAATTTAATATTCATATCATGATTATTTTATTAATTCTAAATGGCTGGTATTTGTAAAAGAAATTAGATATTAGATTAACTCAGGTCCGATCTAATAGAAAACTAAATGATTAATCTCGACTCTTTTCAATCAGAAGAGCTAATTTTTATGAAGATCTATAATTACTTCCAACCAATCAAACTAGGAAATTATGGGATGTTATAGGTAGTTTCGAAGGATTACTGATTTAATTTTTCGTCTAATGAGTTAATCGATTAAGACGGCCTTAAAGTTGTTGTAGTTTAGTAAACCTTGAAACTGAGGAGATTTACAAATTATAACTGGTCAAGAATTTTTCAAGTCAGTTACACACATAAATATACAAATATTAATATTCAAGTGTAACTTTAACAATACAATGTCTGAAAAAAACTCTAAATTTCAATAGGGTAAAGGCTCCAAATATTGACCTATTTAGATAAAATGAACATAAATATATTATTTGTAAATTTATTAGAAGAGTTTATGAGCTGAAAGGAGTGTGAAAAATTTTTTTATACACAAAAATGCATAACAATAAACATTAAATTGTAATAAGGTAATAGCCCCCATTATTAACACTATATATCGTGAATATTTGAATTTTTTTATCGTGTTTCAAATCAATATTGTCAAATTTTTTTTATAGGACACCTTAATCATTGTTTTTACTTACATAATTTAATTAATTAACTTTAATAGCAATAAATTTAATAATTATTATATCAACTTAAAACCAACAAGTCAAATGTATGTATTATTGACAGCGCAAATAATTCAAAAAGCCGATAATTGACATACCATTGACTCTATTATTGACAGGTTTTTTATTACAGTTAAATTTATATTAACAATTATCATTTTTACTAACTAATGCAAAACTATCAATAATTTTTATTATTTTAAAATTCGTTCAAGACCTAGCTTTTCTATATTTTTTACCAGGTTTTTTTTAGCAATTTTTTCTAGTCTTAAATACTTTGATTCATATATAATCACATGACAGTTTGTAAACATTAAGTTAAGATTTTTCTGTACCCATCATTGACATCCGCTATTTTAAAATTAATTTTGACTCGATAAAATATAAATAAATGATTGTATGGTTATTTAGACTATAAATAATCTAAAATAATTTAAACAATGGAATCACTTTAAAAAAAACATTGAGAAATCTAGATTTGAAAATAAGGTCTTTCCTAACGATATTGTTAAAAGAAATTACAAACGTATAAGCAATTTTGGCCTACTTGAAAAAATGAAATTTTTTTGCGGTAAAAAATTTATACCTTCGAATTAAATTTTACTATTTTTTAATTTTAAAAATATGTAAATTGCCATGAAATATCAGCAATTGTGATTATTAACAAATTTTAATAATGAAATAATAAAATTAAATAGGGTATCAATAATGGGGACCCTGTCAATAATAGGGGCTTTTACCTTAATTAACGTTACAGCCGGTTACTCCGAATATTGACCATTACGCACTAAATATTGATCGCCTATATTCCAAATACTGACCTGCACAGAAAAAAATTTACTTAACTCAAGAATATATTTTATCTTCAGTTGAATATACTTGGATCAAGTAAATATTACTTGACTCAAGATGACTTTTTTTTCTGTGTGTAATATCATGCTCACTAGACTTGGAAATAACTTTTAATTTTAATCTATAATAGTTTCGACATCAGGTAATCTATTCACTGACATGTTAATAATTTCAATATTCTGATACAATATTATCTTCAGTACTCATATTTAAATGAATCGCCGAAGCCATACTAATATTACATCCCAGACAACATCCAAGTCAGAAGGATTTCTTAAAGATGTCTTTTCAAAGACTTCCTTGAGAACTCCAAATATGACGTCTTAGTCGATAACATAGATCATTAGTTGACATCAGACTGTCGATAAACAGACTTCAATACCTACATTTCATCCCACCAGAGCGGCGTAAGTATCAGTCTTTCTCGCATATACTTATACTACAAGTCATTTGAATATATACAAAATTCATCATCACATCAAATAAGTGCATATCACATCAACACCAAAGCTGATACACGGTAAAGGTATCAGCTCTGCTGTTGGGGTGGTAGCATTTTGACCTCAAACAATCGACCAACAAATCGTTGACAATCCCCCAACAGTCGGTAAATATCGATCAACAAATCGATGATAATCCCCCAACAGTCGGTAAAAAAAAATCGACCAACAAATCGATGATAATCCCCAACGACAGTCGGTAAGTAGAGCACAAAAAACCAACCATCGATATCGCAGAAACTCCACCAACGACCGCCGATAAGGCAGAAACCCAGGGTCGGTACTGCAGAAATCTACTTTATCGGGGGGTCAAACCGGCCTTGCTTATCTACTGGTATTTTTTTTTATTTTTGGGTAGAAAAGTTGATATCAAGTTATTTATCGTTGCTATAAGTCGTTTGTAATCTTATGTGAACATAAGAGCTTATGTAGAGAAAAAAAATTTACTATTTCATTAGGAGCAGCTAGCCAAGGCAGACCAGGGGACACCACATCACTGAAGTTAAGACGCATTGGTCATGATAAATACTTGGATGGGAGACCGCTAGTAAATTCGTATTCTGCGAGCGATACCATTTTTTTTTTTTTTAATTTTGAAGAAAATATATTTTAATGTACTTGATTGTCTTTAATTTAAGCTCTTTTTTAATATTAATTACAATTAAAACTTGAAAATCACCCTCTATGAACTATTTTTTTCTGGAGTCAGAAAGGGCTCTTAATTCTGACTTCTTGAAGAACTCTTTTTTTGAAGTCAGAAAAAAGAGCTCTTTAAGAACTCTCTCTATGAAGTCCTGATTCACTCTTTAGGTGGCGCATTGGACGTCCTCAAAACGTCTTGGAGACCTCATTTTGATCAAAATTCTGACGTCTAAATCTTAAATAAGAGTTCTTTGAGAACTGTAAAAGACGTCATATTGCTATCTGGGTATACATTCGATAATTTACAACACCAATTGTTGACCAGAATATTATTTCAATTATCAATAAAATTTTTCTGACAAAAATGATTGATAATTAATCTTCGATTCTCAATTGTTTTGACAAATACTAATTTATTAATTATGAAGTACTAGCGCGGATTTTTGCAGAATTAGTTTTTTAGAACAAAAAAACCGGCTTTCTATTTATTAGTATAGATAGATTTAATAGATTTAATTTCATATGAATTAATCACAAATGTACCTATTACCCAACACGGCAAGATTAAATTCTAATTACCAATTTTTCCAATTTTCTGACATTTGTACACTAAATTATTTTTTTTTTATTATAACAACTGCATATTTTTATGTAGATGTACTTAGATGCGCAAATTTTTATTTCGAGTATAATTAAAAACTGATAATTACGTACTGAATATAAGATAAAATTACTAGATTTTTTTAAATCAATTTGTTATGATGTGAGGTCAATATTTGGTTCCTTTACCCTATGTAGTAAAAACTGTTTTCCTTGGTGTTCAAAACAACATGCTTTAACTTTTGAAAATTATTTAATTTCAAAGCAAAAAAATATAAATGTAGATAGAAACATTTTTATTAAAATTTGATACAAATCTAAAAAAGCTGTGAGTTAAAAATTTATAAATAATTGAAGATTACGATTTTTTCCACGAGTAAGAAAAAAAATTCATTTTATTATAAGTAATATAAACACACCGTCTCACAAATTATTATAAAAACTTTCTTTTAAAGTAACATCTCTGTACTTTTCTACTAGATCTGCATCGCCTTTGTTCCGTTAGTTTTTTCGTTCGATTTAGCATGGATTTCATGTATTTCAACTGGAAATAATTACACTGAGACAGTCCTTTTATAAATCCAGGAACCTTGTCTATTCAAAGCTATACCTTTAATCACTTTTATATAAAAAGGTAATCAACAGAAAAAAGTCAGAATTAAACTTGAGATTTATGGTTTCTTAAAATTAAAATTCTACAAGAACGTTTATAATTATAATTTTACAGGCGTAATTACTTTTTTGAATAATTTATTAATTTATCCACTGAGAAGAAATTTTTTTTTTTTTTTAATGAGCAATGTTATGATAAGAAAATAATTTGTTAAAAATTTTATTTCTTATCCGAAGAAATAAAAATTTTTCTCACAGTAACTTTCTTGTTAAATAAAAAGTTTTTTGATTTAGAAAAATGGAATTTTAGGTCAACAACTTCCGAATTTTCATCGAAAATTGTTTTTTCCCAAATCTAGAAAAGTTTTGTTCAACAATACAGTTACTGTAAGAAAAAATTTTATTTCTTCAGATAAAAATAAAATTGTTCAAAATTTTTAGCAAATTAATTTCTTGTTACAATAATGCCCATTGTTTTCAAAAAATATTTTTTCTCAGTGCTTTCTTTAAGTTTAATGACAAAACATTTTTTTCTTAGTCAATTGGAATTAAATTTGTTTTGAATTTTTAACTTTCTGCTAAAAAAAAATGTAAATTTAGTGAAATTCAATAAATTATCATTTTCAATTCGATTTTCCGATTCCGCCTTTTTATTAAATAAATAATTAAATAGTTTCATTATTATCTTAGATTTTATTTTTTACTCACCATTCTCATAAATTTAGACAATAAAAAAGTAATTCTTATATTCTGCGGTTGAACGGAGATTGATCGAGTACGGTTAAATTGGGATTTCGAGATGTTACTCCGTTCTTCAAGATTTGACATGTTCAATAAATATTTTTCTATTAGCGAATGAAATTTATTATGTTTATATCCATTTGATTCAAAAATTTTTGATGTCGTGGAATTAATTTCTTCTTGATTATTATTGACAAATGAATTAATTTCTACACATTCAATTGAAAATATTGAGATTTGTGCTGCTAAAACTTAAAGAAAAATCAAATAATTACCGCGGGTAGATTATTATTATTATATTATTTTTAAAATTACTAACTTATAAAATAGATATAAAAATAATGCATTTTTCTTTGATTTATAGATTCAGCATTCTATGTATTAGAGAAGTGAACTGCTTAGTGTGAATATTTTTTTCAATACTCAGACTAATCATTGTGAACCGTCAAGTTCAATTTTTACGACTCTCGTGTCAATGTCATGCTTATCTATAAACAAAATAAACAAACAACGGAAAATGTTTCTTGATAGTGCTTAAGTTAAATAATTAATGTCATTTATTGCGATAAATAACTACTATTGATTGAATTTTTTGAAAATGTTCTATATTAAATAGTTTTTTAGAGTACAATATTGCATCGTAGACTTTTCATTGAAAAGAAGCGAATATATATGTAGACTATATGAAATGAAGAGAGATAAAAAGTGTCCTAATTCTTTTTCTTTTTAGGAGCAAAGTCGCAGCATTATTGCTCAACAAGCATTTACAAATAAATGGCATATCAGCGGGCTTAGGATCATTGCCGCCTGTAAATCCTTCAGTACCAGATTCACAAGCGGAAGAACCACAAATAACTAGCAGCAGTAAAATGAAACGAGAAAGAAAAGCAGCCAGGACTCTTGGGATTATCATGTCTGCCTTTCTAGCGTGCTGGCTTCCATTTTTTTTCTGGTAATTGTTTCGTAAAAATTATCAAAAACTTTTGCAATTGATTGAAAAATTTACAAAATTTTATTATTTTTCAAAAAAAATACGACAGCTATTAAATATAAATCAATAAAGACGCTGATCAAAAATAAAATTCATTGAAGAGAAAAAATTTTGAATCAAGGACATTATTTTAATGAGTTTAGACATCTTAAACCAGACGAAAAAATTCTTGAACCACGTAAAGTTTACTTGAAATAAAAAAACACTTTTCAGTTTGAAACGGAGTGTTTTGTTTCCCTTGGTCGCCCCTTTTCTCTTAAGGGAGCCACTGGATTTTTGGACTCAGTATCCAGAAACTGGACCAGAACATGGAGTGCTAGGTCAGGGTCGTGAGAGAGTTGCTGAAAGGAAACTAGGATTGAGACACAGAAATTCGTTAACAAAAATTATTTATTTATCCACTCTCCTTACAATTGGAATAATGGCCAAAATTACAATACATAAGTTTCATGGATAACAATCCACACTCACACTCGCACACATTCGGTATATTTCTCGCTGTCCACGCTGTTAGACTTTCACGATACTCTATTTACTTCGCGCCGTCCCCTGGACCTCTAACGCTACTCTATCTTAGTTCGCGCGGCCTCACGGACTCTCACGCCACTGAGCTGGACCTCTGACGTGACTGCACACGTTGTCCACACAGCGCACGCTGTCCCCCAAACTTCACGCTACTCTAAGAGGACTACCCGAAGCTGGATAGCCTCTTTACTCTCACACAAACACACTCTATTCTAATTCCCCCATAAAATAATAATAATAATAACGCTTGAATTACAATTTACAAATAACTTCCAAAATATTATTTTCCTAATTACTATTTCTAAAATTCCGGTTATCATTTCCCGAATTTCAAAATACAAATAACAAATTCCTATTATCTAAATGACTCTTTTAAATTTATCGAGGATTAAATCCACCTTAGCTGGATGTTTTATAAAAATCTGCGTGTCGTCCAGTCGAGCTACTCAGTCACAATGAGTCTTACCGAATTTCGTTCGTTCTTCCTTGCTTCCTCTGCTCTCCCCACTACCACTACGCCGGCTTCTCCACCTCGGGGCCTTTCTCACTAGCTCTAAACGAGCTTTCGATCACAGCGCACTGTGAGCAGTCGATAAATGACTGGATACCGAAATAGGGGAATTACCGAGTAACGATCACTCCGTTATAAGTTCAAGAATTTTTCTGCTCGATCGATTCAAGATGATCAAACTCATCAAAATAATGTTTTTGATTTAAGAGTTTTCCTATTTAATCATGTTCATTTTTTATCAGCGTACAAAATATAAAATTTTACCTTGAAAAAAAATTTACTTCATTTAAAAAAAAAAAATTTCTTTAAAATTTAACTTTTGTACAAAAATGTTCAATTTTCTTAATTTAAAATATTAATTCTTGAATCAATTAATTAAAACTCTTGGATGGGCTAAAAGTTCGCCTGAAAACTTTTACAATAATATAGCATTATGTTACTATTTTTTAACGAAATGCAATACAATATTCTTCATCCAAAAATTTCTTCTTCATTGATAAACATATCGCGTGCAATCAAAGGCGCGTATTCTAACTACACGTTCTATCAAAATTAAAATTAGAAATATCTTTTGAAAAAATAACAAAATATATAGAAGTTCAAAAAAACGAACACTGTTATTTTCTAAAAAATTATTTTGATTTATATTATGGCATACACATAATCCAAGACAGTAATTTTAAAAAAATGGATAAATTTTGGTTTTTTTTAATAATTTTTGTGGAAAAAATTTTTTTAATGAAAAATTGATACCTATTTTCATTTTTTTTATTGTTTATTTGTTGATGAATTTTGAAGAAAAAAATTGGTTGTAAGGTACCTGCGGGTAATAAGGCCTAAGTGACAGAAATTGTATTTAAAATGACCGCCTCCGCTAAAGGTTACTCTAGTAGAAGCGTCTTGCATAGAGATGTCGCGACAAGTTTATAGAGTCCCGATACCACGTTCCTTGTCGTCTATATTTCATCATCCGTCATATGTTGTTGTAGCGTAGAAGAAATTATAAAAATCGATTTCAGTAAATGGTAAGCATTTTTTATAATTTTTGACTTAATAATTTAAAATCATCGTTTTAATACTTATAAATATCTATTTCAATGATTTTAGAAGTTTAAATAACGTATCATAGCTCTAGTATTTTTTATTTTGTAATATTTGATAGACACGGTTGGAGGTTAGTAATAAGGCCTACTGAATTTAAGCATAGGCCTTATTACCCTCCTACTATCTATATTCACATTTGTTCATTTAATAATTTTTATTACACTACTTCAGTAGATTATGAATATAAATAATTAATTTCCACTTTATTATTATTATCATAATTATTTATTGTTATTATAAATGAGTAAATTATTGATTGATTACTGGTTTTTAGTGACTTGATCCTGATGCCTCCTAAACGAGCGATGTGGTCAGAAAAAGACCTCATATCAGCTGTCAGAGCGGTAGAAAGAGGAACTTTGAGTTCTTATCAAGCTGCAGAAAGATACAAAGTTCCACGTTAAACCATCAGAAATCATCTTCAGAGTGGTAATTTAACAAAATCCCTTGGTCGAAAAGCCCTGCTGAGTAATAATCAGGAAGCTGATCTTGTACAAAGAATAACCAGGTTCGCTGAAATAGGACTGCCTGTGACACCTCGAATACTTCGTCGCTTAGTTTTTAAATTTTGTGAGCAGAACAACATTAAAACTAATTTTAATAAGAATTCTAGGCTTGCTGGTAAAGACTGGTTTAAGGCGTTCATGAAAAGAAACCCAGAAATTTCAAAAAGAAAAGCTCAATTTATGAACCCAGCTAGAGCACAAAAATTAAATAAATTTATCGTAGATGATCACTTTTCAAGGATAAAAATAAACTATGAGAAACTGGATGTAAAACATCATCCGGAAAAAATTTATAACATGGATGAAAAAGGTTGTCGTTTAACAAACGAGTACATTTACAGTCTTCGGAGCATGCAGAAAATGTAACTATCGCGGGATGTGTAAATGCACTTGGTAATGCTATACCACCAATGATCATCTTTAAAGGCAAACGTTTAAAGCCGGAACTGTATGACAATTTACCGCCAGGTTCTTTAGTCCAAAAATCAGCAAAATGATATATGACTAATGAACTTTTCAAAGAGTTTCTGAAACATCTTGCGAAGTACAAGACTTCAGGAGAGTGTCTTTTAATATTCGATGGAGCAGCTTGTCATTTAGATTTGTCGATTGTCGATCTAGCTGATTCACTTGGTATATATTTGTACTGCTTACCATCAAACACCACTCATGAACTTCAACCTCTTGATAAAGCTGTTTATCGTTCATTTGAACATCACTGGGATGCTGAAGTTTTATTATTCTTGGAACAGAACCCAGATAAAAAACTCACTAAATCACGGTTCAATATCATTTTATCAAAAGTTTGGTCCAAATGCATGACTCAGAGTAATATATCAAGCGGCTTTCAAGCAACTGGTTTGTATCCTTTTAATTCCAATGCTATTCCAGAAATCGCATTCGGTCCATCTGCTGTGACAGAGGTACCAGCAAGTCTTACACTTGATACTGTGGATGAAGCCAATTTACAATCTTCTAATTCTTCAACGCTTCTGGCACTCGACGTCAACAAAGAAAATTTACAACCTTCTAATTCTCCAAGGCTCCTTGCGATTGATACTGCTCATGAAGAAAATTTGCAACTTCTTGGCTCTCCCAAGTCAACAAACCAGAAACCCAGTAAATCATCAAATGATCAAGTTTCCTTGGTATCAAAATTAAAAAAAAAATGATTGATCAGCTCTCAATTGAATCTACTAGAAGTACTGTTGCGGTCCTTAGTAACTCCAGTTTAAACAATGGTGAAGTTAGTTACGCATCAGAACCTCAGCTCAAAGAAACTTCATTCTATGAGCTCATGCCTTCACCTCTTAAACGTATGGAAAAAACTCAAAAAAAAAGAAGAAAAGCTATTAATTATCGAGGGACTCCAGTTACGAAAGAGCTGTTTAACAAAGTCGATGATAAAAAGAAAAAAATTTCAGACCTGAAGAAGAAAAAAACAAAACCTTTAAATAAATCTAATTTTAGAAAGCAAAAGAGCTGGTATTGTCATGGATGTGAACAAGATGAGATAGCTGATATGAGGCAATCCTAATATAAAATTGAGATGAAATGTATGTGGCATCAAACTATTCGTAACGTGATTGGTCAAATATATCATAAGCATGAAAATATATGCAAACTCTATAGTCAAGGCGCGCGCTTGCGCGCGTAAATTTGAATTCTAGTCCACTTTTATAATTTAGATGAAAAATATGAAAATATATACATTGATGAAGACATTTTATTCGTAATGTGATTGGTCAAATATATCATAAGCATGAAAATATAGATAATTCCATACCAACATTCACACGCGCGCTTGCGCGCGCAACGTATACTAGTGCATTAAATGCAGCAAGTGGTATCATGAGGCGTGCGTCGGTTTAACAGTAGATGATACCGATAGTTTTAAATGCTGTTGACCAAATTAATCTAGTTTTCTGACTCTTAATACATATTTTTGCTAAATTTAATCGCTAAGTGATCTCTAATACCAATTTAATTGAGTATAGTTTAATTATTCCAATGTGTTTAACGCATAGGCCTTATTACCCTACTATAGTAAAATAAGGCCTATTCGTATAGTTTTTTTTAAAGTTAAATTTTATGTTTGTTTATGGTAAAAATTACCATTAATTCATTATATTTTATTACAAATACATTTAAATAAAGATTAATGATACATTTCAATAATTTAATGCAATATTTTCGATTTTATTCAAAATGTCCCTTAGCTAGGCCTTATTACCCGCCGGTACCTTAGGTCAAAAAAAAATTAGTCATGTGAATTTTATACTTAGAAACTGAGTAATTGCGAAACTAAATAATTATTTTCGTTTTGCTTCTTTTTATAATAATTGAGCATTGTATACTAGACTGTTTTTTTTTTTTTAACCTAACTTGTCTTATGAAATGATTTGTCAACCCGTGTAAACAAGTTACGGAATTTCTCCGGTGATTTGCCGGAAATCCTGAGGAATTCCCTATGAGTCCCGGATGAAATTGTAAGTGATAATTTTATTAAACACTGCAGTAACAATTGAAAAAAAAAAAAAAACCGGAAATCGGTTGACCGCGCAGGCCAACCCTAGAACTTCCTGTTAAGTTTAAATTTGAAGTACCTTTAAATGTATTTGTTGGTTAATATTTGAGCTTTTCAAGCTCAAAGCACAGTTTTTCACATTTTGAGCTCTTCGAGTAAAATATGAATTTTCGTCAAAATATAAATTCCTCAGGATTTCCGGTAGATCATCGGAGGAATTCCGCAGCTTTTTTACACGGAAACGTTTGTATTAAAACTCAAATTTTTTTGCACCCTAGGGAAAGCTCTTAGTTTTAGACACTACTTTTCTACAAGATAAAAGGTCGCATATCTTAAGATACGTCCTTCTGGCTATACGATACTCTATTTTTTTTTTTTTACAAATTTGCGTTTTGAACGATTTTAATAAAAATGGCTAAAAAATTTTATTTTGTGATGAATTTCTTCTACTTTTCAGATAATCAAAAACGATTTTTAATCAAAAATAAATTTCAGAATATGTTGAAGCAAAAATTTACTTTTTGTAGAAAAAATTTTTTTGCTATTTTTAATCTAAAGATTAAATCTTGAACCACGTTATTCATACATACTTAAAATGAATCCTGACTAAACATTAAAAAATAACAAATAATTGTACAATTTGAAAATCTAATCTGAATTAATAATATTTGAATTTGCAGGTACTTAATCACAGCGTTGTGTGATACATGTGAAAGTAGTAGCACCGTAGTAGGAGCAGTGTTCTGGGTAGGCTACTTCAATAGTGCCCTTAATCCACTTATCTATGCCTACTTCAATCGTGAATTTCGTGCAGCCTTCCGCAAAACTCTTGAAAGTTGTTATGGTTTCTTAGCACCTGTACCAGATGTGAGACAAATTCACAGAAAACATGATTTCGTTCACAGTAATGCCTCATCAGAATTGCACATACACAATGCCGCTCGAGGAAGCGAAATGACTAATGTCCACATGGAGGCGTGTATTTAAATATAGTTTTTGGATCCGTTAGAAAATTATTATATTAATAAAAATCCTGTTATAAACCGTATTTTTATTAAAGTGATATAGTAAGAAGTTTGTTATTAATATACTCGACTCACCATTTATTTTTTGTAATATCTTATATCCTTTATTTTATACTCATATTTGGGAGATATAAATTTTATAGTATTATTTACACAACATATGCCAATATAATTACAATAAATAATGTGTCGAGTAAATATGGCCAAATTTTAATAGTTTTATTAAGAATTAATAAAAGTTAAGATTTCCCGCCCGCTAATTCTTTTGAGAATCCTATACAAGATTATTAAAAGCCCTATAAAATGTATGAGTGGTTCGAAAAATTAAAAAGTAAATTCTTACATAAAACCTGTAAAATATTTTAGAGTAAGAAGACTATTCGCTCCGAGCTCAACATATAAATTTTCTGATTTATAGCCAGTTTTTCAAACTATCTTTTTTTAAGGGGCCATTCTGGTTCCGGCACTCAAAAAAAATCAATATTAATGATTTTTCTTCACCGAAACTATTAAAGATATTAATATAAAATTTATTCAGCTCAACAAATACATTCTTGAATAACACTAAACATTTCTAAATTTATTTTTTTTTTATTTTCCATATGAATAAACAACGAGTGAACGGAGCTTCTCCAAAAGCTGGTATGTCGCTATCGTACATGATAACTTGATAGCGGTTCATTTAAAACACAAAAATCAAAATTATTTACGATTAATATATAAGTAGTTATTGCACCAGCTAAGGAGATTAATATTTATTAATTAATAACAACATAGAGACATTTAAAAAAAAAAAAAAACTAAAAAATGAGGATTTTTTTCACAGTTTTTAGTCCTAAAAAAATAGTAAAAATCAAAATTTTGATTTGGTTGTAGCTGATGCAATAGCTACTACTATGTAGAATGTGTGGTTTGAATTTCATTAAGATCGGGTCAGTGGTTCCGGAGACATCATGTACGTCAACCAGAAAAACATAGGTCTCAAATAAACGCGTTTGAAGTTTATTTAATTAAAAAAAAATAAAATCTTATTTAAAGACAATCAACGATGCCGGCACCATACAAAACCTCTTTAGCCTTTTTAAAATTTTAATTTTTTCTCACTCGAATATCCAAATAAACCGTAAAATAATATACACAGAAAAAAAAAATTAACTTGAATTCAAGCTATTTTTTTTTTTTTTTTTTCAATGTAGTTACAGTAGTCCGATCTCTTAGAAATTTTAACACAATACTTTTAGATGTGTGTACTTTCGAAAAATAAAAGAAAGAAAATTTTTCTTGCAAGTTACAAATCAGAATAACCCCTTAAATACGAATTTTGGAAGAACCACTAATATAAAGAAAAAAAAAACTCAGTTTTCATAAAAGAAAAAAAATTCTCTTAGTGTCTGTGTCTATATATGATAAAGCTCCGACTTTTCAGGCAGAGATTGCGTCTTATGGAAAATTATATGAAGTTTATTGAGAATAAAGTGTTACCTCTGGTCTTATTTCTGTTGCGCTCGGAACGACTACAGAATTAATTAAAAAAAACAAATACTTTTTTTAACACCGGCTTTGAAAATTAAATTTTCTCAGCTGCGTGTTGAGTCGAAAGTGCCAAATATTTTCAGCCTTAATTAACTATATATTTAACATCCACACATGTTCGCTAATCATGCTATAATGTAATAATGATAACGCTATCAATGTATTCGGGGTAAAGGAAACTCTATTACTCTCTAATTGTTCGTATGAAGTATATATCGTCTGCGATAAATAACTTTAACTTGATAATATTACTTTCGAATTAAACTTTCATAGCAGAATTTTTATAAAAAATATATCATATAAACGTTCTAAAGAAGAAATACAAAAAAAAGCGCTGATGAATTAATACTCGAATTGAAAAATTTTTCAATTTATTTTGATTGTCCTGAAATTTATACGAACCGATCTGAACAAAAGATGTCAAAAAAAAAAAGTAAAAACTATTAGCTGATCTAGAGGATCAAATGTAAGAATCAGCGGGTGGGTGGATTACTAAAATGGTTTATGACCCTTTAAATAAATCAAGTATACATAAAAACGTGAAATTAATAAGTAAGTAAACAAATCACAATTCGATCTATAAACAAAAGGTTGTTTAATATAATCAATTTATCTGTTAAAAAGTATATTTTAAAAAAATTTATTCTGTTAGTTGTTGACAGTTTTATTAAGTTATATCTAAAATTACGTAAAATTTAGAAATAATGTTATAGATAAAAAAAATAATTTAATTATAACATATTTAGAGTAGTCAACTTGCAAAAAGAATGGCCGCTTATTGCCGTTTTACATTTTATTTGTAGCTGTAATAAATTTAAAAAAATTTTTTGAGTTTAGCTGAATTTTTTCCTTATAGTTTAAGATGACAGATTTAATTAAAAAAAAAAAATTATCGATAAAAAATTAATATTTCGTAAATTATTGGTCGTAGAGACATCGGGTCTGGCTTAATAACCGGCCATTTTTCTGCAAATCGACTAGACTAATTGATATTATCTCATTGAAAGTGATGAACCCATTTATCGAATTAAATTTAATCATGGTTAATTTAATTGTATATATATTACAATTTTGATGTATCACGGAAAAAACAACTCTGTAAAATTTACCGAAAATAATCTGCAAAATTTACAGATAAATTCTGTAAAATCTACACAAGTATTGTGCTATCATTGCAGCGTAACTTATTAAATAAAAATTAAGTTTGATTATCAGTAAAAAAATGTAAATATTTCAAATTTTTATAATCTGTGAATGGATAATTTTTTTACTGATTATAAAAAAATAATTTATCTATAAATGCACTGTAAAAAAATCAAAAAAATTAAAATTTTGGAAATATTCAAAAAGGTGATATAAAATAATTTGCAATGATGCTGACCCGAGCAGTGCTTCTCAATTTATGATGAGAAATTTTTAGTAATAATTACAGAAAAAGTTCTATTATAATTACAGACTCAATATGTTAAATTTACAGAATTTACCTTGTAAAAATAAGATATTGAGCTCTGTAAATTTTACAAAAATCGACTTACAGATATAATTCTGTAAATTTTACAGAGAAGTTTTTTCCGTATACTTTTTGTTTGATAGTCTTCATTTTAGGTCTATCAGAACCAAACATTTACTTCTAAATTTATTTTTTCTGCTTTAAACAGATTAATTGAGATAATATAATCATAAAAGAAAAAAAAAATTATCTGTTTTTTGATAGAATTTTTTATTACGTATTTATTAACCATGGTAAATGCATTTAAAAATAATTGTTTTTTTATTATATACAATTCCAACGTAAAGTATATGATGAAGTACTCTGTATAAAAGTCTATGAACTTCAAAATTACTTGGACTATTTAATACCGATACCGGGCTAATATGGCATAACAATTTGTAGAATTATCTTATAAATAACGATTTTAAAGAATATCTACTGTACCAAAAATACTATTAAAGTTATAAACGAGAAAAAATTTTGGTTTCAGAAGTCTGCAAACGTTTATCGAAAACAACTTTTTTTACATAGAATATTAATTCCAAGCTAGTCATTTTTAATTCGTTAATGTGTTCATCTTAAACACTCCGATAAATCATATACAATATAATATTACAAAAGTCATATAGTTGTCAAAATAAATGGTTATAGCACTAAAACTAATAAGTAATTGATATCAGTATATACTATGATATCAATTTTAATGACGGACAATCTGACTTAGTTCAAATTTTACAATACATATTAGTACTGTGAAAGATATTACATTTGTAAGAATGAAACAAATAAATATAGACCTATATCGATTATAATAAATCTAATTAGCTCTAGTTAGACCACTGTACAAAAAAGATAGATAGGAAATTACAAAGAACAAAATTTTTACTGTATTTATTTCAATAAAATCTTTTTAGTTATTGCACTAAAAAAATTTGTTAAAAAAAAATGAACAATGTCTTTATAAGAAATTAATTTGTTAAAAATTTTATTTCTTGGCTGAAGAAATAAAATTTTTCTCACATCAAGTTTATTATTAAAATAAAGTTTTCTTAGTTTGAAAAAAAGAAATTTTAGATAAACAACGCGAATTTGCATCGAAAATTTTTTTCCTAAATCTAGAAAACTTTTTTTCAACAAAAAAGTTACTGGGAAAAAAACTTTTATTTCTTCAGCTAAGAAAAATTAATTTTTTATTACAGAATTGCTCACTTTTTTCAAAATAATTTTTTTCTTAGCGTATCATTTTCAATTTTACAAAGTTTATATAGTCATTTCATCTAATCAATCTGGAAAGTATGTATCTCTTAAATTTCAACAGATTGATGTATCATATCCACAAATGGATAATAGAAAATATATCGATTTAAATTACCACAGTATATTTTTTTTTGGTTGTGGCATTGATTGATGACAGAACTTAATACGATTTTCTTCCAGTCGATTTCCGTTAAGCTCCGTTATTATAATTATAGTCAATAGAAATCTCATTACATCACTTTTAGATTAAATATGATTTATTTTTTCCCATGATAAGGTAGAAAAATAACTGTAATCTGTTATCAAATTAAAGGAAATATCTTTTTTTGTACCTGCAACGATGAAGAATTGAATGAAGATGATGGTTTATAAACTATCAGCTTTAATTATAAAGATTAAATATTTCGCCATGTATTATTCACGTAGCTTAATAATTAAAACGTATCTAATTTTGTTGGTTAAATAATTAAGACATACTTTTTTTTATAAACGAAATAATTATTTAAAAATAAAAATAAATATAAGATATTCCTATTAAAAGATTACCAATTAAAAAATATATTTTTCCAAACAATTTATAATGATTATTTTATTTCTTATTTCAATTGTTGCGATATTGAGTTGTTGATTCCAAAGTTTTTAGTTGTAATTATGATTAAAAGATAAGAAAACTTTATTTCTTCTCTTTCTCGTCATCCTACAGAGGGTTAAATTAATATTACGAACAAAGTTTTAGTTATATTAGTTAAGCGAAATTCAGAACTTAGGTCAAGGCAAACAACTACTGTGCTTATGATTTTTAATTCAATTTAAAGCCTATTTCTAAAACTTTCTTTTAACTGTCTAAATTTTTAAGATTTATAAAGAAATTATATTTATTTTAAAAATTCAAAACCAATACACTTATTCATTAACTGATAATAAAAATTAAATGAAATGTTAAAATAAAAGTTGTATTTTTTCTTCCCTTATACTCTGTACCCATTATTCCTATGTTAAGAAAATTTTTAAAAATCAATAAAAGTAAAACTTTTGTAAGATAATTTTTTTGACCTTGTTTAACAAATTAATTCCTTTTATACTGTATGATATTATATGATAAAATAATTTTAATCTGCGAATAATCTTTGATAACAAACCCAGGGTCGATAATATAATATATTGAATAATTATGCAGAAAAAAAGGAGGATTATCCGACTAGGGTAACTTTATTTACCATCAACATAATAACTATCGAAACATCACTGTATAAATATGATGAAATAAGACGACTCTCTCTCACTCTACTATTTTAAATATCAAACTCAAATAACTCTATTATTATAAACTTAACTTGAGGAGTCATTCTGGTTAATAAATTTCAAGAAACAAAATTTTTTTTACATCATCCGAAAGTACATACATCTAAAAGTATTGTGTTAAAATTTCTAAGTGATCGAACCACTAACTATATTTTACAATTTTTATGTGGATGTTCGGGTGAATAAAAATCAAATTTTTGAAAAGGTTAAAGAGATTTTGTATGGTGCCGGTATCGTTGATTGTCTTAAATTAAGATTTTATTTTTTTCTAATTAAATAAACTTCAAACGCGTTTATCTCAGAACTATGTTTTTCTGGTTGACGTACATGATGTCCCCGGAACCACTGACCCGATCTTAATGAAATTCAAGCCACAAATTCTACATAGTAGTAGCTATTGCATCAGCTACAACCAAATCATAATTTTGATTTTTACTATTTTTTTAGGATTAAAAACTGTGAAAAAAATCCTCATATTTTAGTTTTTTTTTTAAATGTCTCTATGTTGTTATTTATTAATAAATATTAATCTCCTTAGACATACCAAATTTTGGAGGAGCTCCGTTCACTTGTTGTTTATTCATATGAAAAATATTAAAAAAAAAATTAATTTTGAAATGTTTAGTGTTATTCAAGAGTATATTTGTTAAGCTGAATAAATTTTGTATTAATATCTTTAATATTTTCTGTGTAAAAAAAATTATCGAGCTTAGTTAAAAAAAAAAATTTTTTTTTATTTTTTTAAAATCACGAAAAGTGAAAAATTTTTTAATTTTGACATTTTAGTCTAAATTAGACTTAAAAAAAATTAACTCCCGACTTTTTAAAAAATTTTATAATAAATATTGCAAGAAAATTTGATCGCCGGAACCAGAATGACCCCTTAAGAAAGAAAATATAGTTGAAGTATTCTAAAAAAAAATTGTAACAAAAGCATTGAAAGAAATTAGCTCATGTAATTTTTCGCACAAGTTCAAACCACTTACTATGGCGCGCCGTTTTACTATTTAATAGAAGGAAAAACATGATCTTAAAATTAACAACTAAAAGGAAAAATGCACATTTTATGTTAAAACATAATCAAAATATAATAGATTAATTTTATGTTTATGCTTATATTTTTTAAGGAATAATTATTATGTAGGGACATAATAATATATCAAAGAATTAAAATTCTGAGTTGAGCTGATGACAAAAAAAATATTTTTATTGTGTCATAATAATTAAAAATAAGAGTTTAATAATTATGTAGGGACATAATTTTAACTAACAATTTTTTTTTTATGTAGAGACATAAATTAAATTGGCTCCTGTAGATTTATATTTTTGGAGTAATTATTTATAACATTTTAATTTCTTTAAAATTATGTACATAATAAAAATGTTATAATTAAAATTATGTACATAATAGTAATTCAGAATTAAAATTTTGTACATAATGGAAATGTTTGAATTAAAATTATGTACATAATAGAAATTTGGAATTAAAATTATGTACATAATAGAAATGTTGAAATTAAAATTATGTACATAATGGAAATGTTTGAATCATCAATAAAAAAATTAAAAAACAGTAGGTTTCTGGGATATTTAATGAAATAATTAAGTTTGAAAATTGTAATTTTTACATGTAGTTAAATGGAGATTTCATCAGCCGTGTATTTGGTTAAGAATTTAATGCAATTAACGATTTTAAAAAATTTTTCTTTTCATTGAATTTGATAGAAAATTTAATAAGCTTTCGATTAAAATAATAAAAAAAGTAGGTTTCCGGACGTTTTACGAAGATATTTTATATTTTTTATGAAAAATCACAAGGAACTTCCGTTCTTTGAATTCTTGTATTTGACTTGACAACACCGCTTGCGCAGTTGCCCGGCGCATAAGTAACCGCGGTTTTTTAAATGCTAGAAAATCTTAGTCATTTTAGTTAGACAGTAAACATATTTTTTTTAATAAAGTAAGTTAAAAATACAAAGATACTTGGGGCCAGTTTTTCAATCCGGGATAAAATTTTATCCGAGATAAAAGTACTGCTAATATAATAATAAAAATAAATAATTCAGCACAGTGATATTGCATACAAGTAGTTCTCCCTGAATCAGTCACTTATTTTTAATTAAAATAAATAAACATTAGCTACATGTCACAGAAATATTATTCTCCAACTGTTCTGTTCACAGAAATATTGAAATATTAATCTCCAACTCTTCGAGCTCATATCTTGCGTTTGACATATTTATTGTTAATCTATAATTATGTTAATTAATTTGAAATAATTTAAATCACACAATGAGAGGTTATTATTTTTATGATATATTTATTTATTATTTAAATAAATGACCAAATTCATGGAGAACTAACTGAGAGCAATATCACGTCGCTAAATTATTTATTTATTTTTTTTTTTTTTCATTATATTGACAGTACTTTTATCTCGGATAAAATTTTATCCCGGATTGAAAAACTGGCCCCAAGTATCTTTGTATTTTTAACTTACTTTATTAAAAAAAATATGTTTACTGTCTAACTAAAATGACTAAGAGATTTTCTAGCATTTAAAAAACCGTGGTTACTTATGCGCCGGGTAACTGCGCAAGCGGTGTTGTCAAGTCAAATACAAGAATTTAAAGAACGGAAGTTTCTTGTGATTTTTCATAAAAAATATAAAATATCTTCGTAAAACGTCCGGAAACCTACTTTTTTTATTATTTTAATCGAAAGCTTATTAAATTTTCTATCAAATTTAATGAAAAGAAAAATTTTTTAAAATCGTTAATTGCATTAAATTCTTAACCAAATACACGGCTGGTGAAATCTCCATTTAACTACATGTAAAAATTACAATTTTCAAACTTAATTATTTCATTAAATATCCCGGAAACCTACTGTTTTTTAATTTTTTTATTGATTATTAGGCTATGTAGATGAAATTTCCAAATTTTCAGAAAATTTTAAAAACTTGACTGCTTCGCGTGGATCTCCTTTTAATAAAACAACCATTACCCGACTTTACCCGTCTGAGTCCCATTGCTTGGTCATTTACCCATTTAACATCGAATTACCCGAAAAATGGGTAATTACCCGGACATTGGCAACACTGGTTTGAATTAACATTATGTATTGAGATGATATCAATTGCTTAATATCATTATGTTACAAGATCATTTTTATTTATAATTATTATTTGATTTACTTTTAGGATAAAAAAATTTAAATTAAATTTATGTTACTAGATAATTAAAATTCGTTATCGGTATAATTAATTATGGTGGGACATAATAAAAATTGTCTGAATTTTAGTTATGTTGTATCATAAATTTTTTTGAAGTATTCATTATGATTTCACTTTTTACTAAATTCTGTGAATTTTTATTATGATCAACCATAATCAAAATTTTGCAAAGATTTTTAAACTGTTTTAAATAAAATGAATCCATTTTTTATGCAGATACGTCATTTCAATATTTTTTATTATGTTATTCAAAATGAAAAAAAATTTATTTTATCTTTAAACATAATTGAATTGTATTCATTATAATTATATCACACGATAATAAAAATGTTTTTATTTTTTCAAAAGGATAATTCCGAATCATTATAATTATGTGGTAACATAATTATATTTCGTGTATTTTTGTATCTCTCCCTATGCATAAGCATTTAATTTTATGTCGGTACATAAAATAATTATATTTTTATTATGTCAGTACATAAAAAAAATTCACTCAAAAAATTATTTTTTAAATTAAAAATAAATTTTTTTTTTTGTATGTTCTGCAAAAATATTACCCCATTAAATAGTAAAACGGCGTGCCATAACTTTACTACTTAATATATCAATCTATTGAATAAGAGTTACTTCAAAAACGTAATTTACTCTCTAGAAAAATATAAATATTAAATAATTTGTAATAAGGTAATTATATATTATATTAAATATTTTTGACATAAACTGAAATACAATGATTCGCAGTAAATTATTTCGATGCTTCCGATTTCTCTGCGTCTATCCGTCGATGATCATTTTCCATGAGTTTTTCTAATTCTTCCTAAAATTTGAAACTTCTATTAGTCAGCAGAAAATAAGATATTTTAATAAAATATCAGATTATATTTACATTCCAGCCAAGTTCCTCAGCCAATAATTTACAGCCCGTATCACAATCTCCAATCCAAGCAACGTCTCGAGCACATTCTGAACTCTTGGGATCAAAAACAAATCCATGGTTCAAACCAAAAAACCGAGATAGTCTATCTTGTACACTAACTTTCTCTTTATTGATAAGCAAACGTGGGCATGTTGATTTTACTCTAAAAAATTTTAATTTAAGTAAAAATGTAAAAACTTATAAAGCTTAATGTTCCTATACGCCCATTGTGAATCAATGCGTTGCGCATTTTAGTTATTATTCACTTACTTATCAATTAACGACGCAAATGGTTGTACAACTAAACTCGATCCCATGATAATAAGTAAATCCGCTTTAGGGAAATCATTATCAATTGAATGATAGAAACGCTCCGGTAACATTTCACCAAAAAAAATTATATCTGGTTTAACAACACCTTCTAAACATTTATCACATTTTGGTATGGTTTCGTCATAAAGTTTTTCTGTAATGACAAATGTTATTTGTTAGAAAAAAGTATTTTTTCTTATACTTTTCATTTTAATTATGGAGTAAAGGAACCAAGTATTGACCAAGCAGCATGACAATTTTGATTTAAAAAAATCTAGTAATTTAATTTTATATTCAGTACGTAATTATCAATTTTTTATTATACTTGGAATAAAAATTTGCGCATCCACATAAATATATGCAGTTGTTATAATAAAAAAAAAAAAAGATTTAACTAAAAATTGATTTTCGAAAGTGAGACTGAAAACACTAACACATCCCAATTTCTTTAAATTTTCAATCTTTCGTATCTTGTGAAAATTCACTGAAAGAAATTAAAATAACTGACTCACCGGCCAGGCGTGGGTTCGAATCACAAGCTGGTCTTAGAAACCAGCTTGGTTGAGATTCGACCCTTGCCGCGTAGGTTAAGATTTTCACAACCCAAAAAGACCCCAACGTACCACTCCCAACAGTTAAAGTCGGCGATATGATCACAGCAGTTAAAACCGACTCTAAATAATAATTAATTTAAAAAAGAAAAAAAAAATTAAAATAAAATTTTTAACTTCCCCAAACATAAATTTACAATTTCAAAAAATTCAGCTGTGATAGTAATTTCAGTTCAATTTTCGAAAATCATTTTTTCATTTATCGACGTTGGGAAGTTCTTAGACACTACTGTGACTATTTTTTCATATACGCCCTTTTGGCTTTAAAATTTTTTTTTCTTTAAATCAAAAGGGTGTAGGTCGAAAAAAAAAGTTTTTTACGTTTCTCAACCAAGTTTTTACTTTTATACATTTTTATATATTTTGAGATACGCCCTTTTGGTTTTAGTAACGTGATCAATTTATATGAAGTTAAATACTTCATAATTAATAATTAAGTATACGTCAAAACAATTGAGTATCGAAGATTAATAATTATCAATAATTTTTGTTAGAAAAACCATATTAACAATTGAAATAATAATCTGTTCAACAATTGGTGTTGTAAATTATCGAATGTACCTAATATTAGTATGACTTTGTTCATTGATTTAAATATGAGTACTGAAGATAATATTGTATCAGAATATAGAACAACTAACAAGAATATTGAAATTATTAACATGTCAGTGAATAGATTACCTAATATTGAAACTATTATAGATTAAAAGTAAAATTTATTTATAAGTCTAGTAAGTATGATATTACTGGTCAGTATTTGGAACATAGGCGATCAATATTTAGTGCGTAATAATGGTCAATATTCGGAGCAACCGGTTGTAACGTTAATTATTACAATTTAATGTTTATTGTTATGTATTTTATAAATAAAATTATTATAGTTTGTAAGTTAAAACTATAAAAAACTACAAATAATGTATTTATGTTCATTTTATCTACATCGGTCAATATTTGGAGCCTTTACCCTATTTAACTTTGTTTAAATTACTTTTCATCCATGAGAGATCATAAGTGGCACGGCAATCAAGACACCGTCCAGAATGGAATGTCCCATGGGCTTCAATCAACTTTTCAGGAGGCAACCCAGAAATTCTTTCTAAAGTATCAATATTCTGAGTGTAGTGTCGCAATAATAATCCTTTATCCGATAACAGCTTAATAAAGTAGTGGCTTAATGTAGGTTTCAGGTGTTCTGGGAGTAACTCTTTCGCCAATACAAAAAATGGTTCAGGATTTGTCTTGAAAAAATCAATTTCAAATATTGCTTGAGGATACGGAAGATTATACTTTTGTAAATTATAATACAGTCCACTTGAGGGCGAACGAAAATCAGGTATTCCAGCAGCTGGAAAGATATTTTTAAGTCAACATAACATTTTTTTTCCTTTTCAATTACTCGAAATTCATCTACGACGTAACTTGATTTTATTAGTAACTACTCTTACGAAATTATTTTTACATAGGTGTTTGAAAGTAACATTGATTTTAGAAATCAATAATTAATATTTTTTAACTATGTATATGAAATGAAAAAAAAACATAAAATTGATGATGATAATATTGAAATCAGCAGACATCTTACAGTTTCTTTTATTTTTACTACAAATCAATTATGTAAAAAAAAAATATTTAAAAAAATTTGCACTTGTAATTCGTTTAAATTAGTAAATGTGGAATTTCTTCATTAAAATTTTTTCATAATAATTTAATTGTTATAAAAATCCAAAAAATTAACATATGTCAGTTAATTTCAACATCATAATTCAAGAAAGGTTTAGAGAAAAAATTCAATTTACTTCTAAATTAAAGTGAAAAGTTACTCAAAAAAAAAAATTGCATAAACATATATAGAATTGAAGATATTTACGGCGTTGCATTCAGCGGATTCCGTCAATTTCAGAATTTTCATTCTTTAAGATTAAGTCACAAATTCTTTTCTTTTTTTAAGGGGTTACATGGGTTTCCTCCGGGGTAAAATGGCCTATTTTTAACAATTTTTTTTTAATATAAAAAATGAAATATTTAATTCAATCTTTTTACTGTCTGAAAGATACATATTTAATAACGGATTACTGATATTTTTGAAAAAAAATATTAAAAACTTTGCCATTGTGACGTCATTTCCAGCGAGCCCTTGGAAAAAAGATGCGTCCGCGTTGGAAGCAGAACTTCTAGCAGGATCATTTGAAGTGAAAAAAAAAAAAAAAAAAAAACTCTACCTATCCATGTCGGGTATGGCCCGAATGGCGCTTTTTTTTTTATGGACCTGATCGAGTCAGACATGAACAGATCTGATCAGACATGAACATGCCTGGCCAGGTCTGATTAGACCTGATCATTTTTTCCCGGGTATATCTCAAAATTTAGAAAACAGTTAAAACATACGGCAGATCAAGAATAAAAGAAAAAAAAAAGGCCATTCGGCAGCCGAAATGGAAGTAGATTTTTCAAATAAAGAAAATTGATTTTTAATAAAATAATATAATAACACTAACAATGGATAACTTACTTCATGAATTAAAAAATAAATTCAATAATGAATTGAAAACTATTTGGAACAAACTTTGGAAAAAAAATTATCTTGTGAAGAAAAAGTTTCTAAAATATTTACCAAAGAATTGCAAAGATTATAAGATTGTATTTATAAATGTCCAAATTTTAAGTAACTGCTTAGAAACAACAGTTTCCGAGTTAATCAGAATTTTGAAACCAGATAAAATTTTAATTGAAGAAAACAATGTTTAAAACTAATTTGTGACATATTTACTGACAACCTACTCGAAAACATTACACGAAAGACTGATCAATATCGTAATTATTGAATTTACATCATATGATTATAAGCTATGATGCAGACAATAATTCTAAAACGGCTGCAACAGTAAAACTGTTTCATTAAACGAACTCTAAAAGGAGTAATATTGAGGCTATTACCACTTCTGAGTAGTGAAAATTGAAGCTTATTAAAAGAGCTTTACGATGCATTTTACCGAATTTCAATATCTTGTCTAGTTCAATAATTATACCAAGTTGAAGTAGTAAAAACATCAATTTTTATGATTTTCAAAATTTCAAAATCCTGTCATTTCCAAATTACTCGCCCGATTAAGCTCATCTTCGAACTTAACCTTGGTATTGATCGATAGATAAAGCATGCTGGGTTTGAGAAGAATCGGTTATAAATTAAAAACGCTATCGTGCTGACAAGCCGCGTTATATCGTATATATATATAAATACATACATACATAAACTTTTGAACTATATATATTTTCTGACTCAGCTCGACAAACTGAGTCAGAAAATGGCAAAATTTTTTGAAAGTTGCGCCATGAGGACGGCTGCAATAGTTAGATTTTTATAAAATCTACTAAAAATACGTGGTTTAGTTAATATTTTAAACTAGAACTTGGGCGAAGAAAAAAAAATGAAAATTGGATTTTTGGCAGAGGTTACTACGAAAAAATGAAAAATTTGGTTAAAATTTCGCGATATTTTTTTTTTAATAGTTGTAATTAAAAAAAAAAAAAAAAAAAAAAAATCTTTCGTACAAGTCCTTGTAAATTGTATCTCAGAGACCTGTCTAAAATTTCATTAAGATCGGTTGAGTAGTTCTCGAGAAATCTTGACAACCGTCTTTGAAAACACAGTTTTGAGAAAAACGCGTTTAAAGTTTTGAGTGACAATAAAACAGCGCCTTGAGTGCGCAACTTTTTAAAACTGTATCTCCGAAACTATTACTCGGATCGACTTGAAACTTCAGGACAATATTCTAGAGATGTTGTAGAATTTAATAAGACAATAAAAAAAAAACGATGTTTTGAAGCCGGGAAACCAATATAACCCCTTAAGCTCGGTACGGTATATATCTAATGTTATACTATCATATTTTTATTTGAAAATAATTGTAGACCTACTTTATTAAGAATAAAAAAGGGCAAAATTTCAGAAGAATTGGGCCTCAAAAAATCTAACAGAGTGTGATCTATTAGCTTGTGTAGCTTGTGTAGCACATTAGAATGTGTAGCACTAATGTCGAGATGAGAAATGAAAATTTTCAAGTAAATGAAGATTAGCATCGCTTAATAAACCATCGGCATAATAAAATAATTTTTACTTACAAGTTGATATACCGGCACCAGCCATTGTTATTATATTACGGCACTTATTTTCTTTGATAAAATCAACAATACCACGAATAGTTAACTCCTGTAAGATTTGTTTCGCTTTTACACCCATTTTTTCTTCAGTGTCACTAAGTGTCAGCTTGGACATTAAATACTTAGACATTTTTTCGATTCCAGAAAGATCATCATCTTTACTTGATGAAGGATGAGATTTTTGTTCATCATCTTCTTTTTTGTCATCCGTTTTTTCACACTTATCATCTGAAAAAAAATAAATAGTAGATTAGACAAAAAGTAGGCGAAAACGTCGGGTGTCTCCTAATCAACTCTAGCAAATAGTAATAATAATAATGACCAGGGATATTTTGCAAATCGAAGAGTATATTGATGACAATTTTTTTAAAATATAATTCATGTTTTATTTTTTTCACGTACTTGACTTCAATTTCCGATTTAATATTTCTTTAGTTTTTTTTTTATATTTGAAATTAATGATTCTAAATTTAACATGAAATTGAAATTGAGAGAAGTGATAATTAAAAATTTTTTCAATACATAAATTACAGCAAAAAAAAAGTTCACTTAATAATTTCAATCTTTAAAAGCTCGAAAAAAAATGTAAATGCAATTTTTTTTAAATAATTTTTTAGACCTAGTTTAATTTTCACGAAAAATAAAAAAACTGTCGTGTTACAATTTAACAGTTATCTAACAATTATTAAAATTTTCATAACAATTAAATTAAAATAAAAAAAATTTAACAAAAAAATTCCACACGTAGAAATTTTTAAAATTTATAACTGCGAATTTCTTAAAATGTTTTTTTTTTTTTTTTTTTTTTTTTTTTTTTAATGATAATTGATTTGTTATAAAAATTTCAAGAATTCTTAGATGCCTGCTAATTTCAGTGTCATTTAAAATAAATAAATAAACTCTAAATCATCGATTTTAATTCATTCCATTCAAAGAAAGTGACAGCTTAAATCTAGATAGATGTTTTAATATTAAAAGTAAGTTAGCCGACATCTAAAAATTTTTAGAATTTTGTATTAATTGAAAAAATGATTACAAAAAGATAAAAAAAAATCTGGAAAACGGTTGACCCTAAAGGCCATCCCTGCAACTTCCCGCCAATTCCATACCTAAACGCTTGAGATTGCACTTATGACGTTTTAGAGCTCTTCGAGCTCATAAATACAATTTGTGTATTATTTTGAGCTCTCCGAGCTCAAAAAATAGCTTTTGTATGCTTTTGAGCTCTTCGAGCTCAAAAGTTTGATAGAAGTTTGATAAAACACTATTTTTTTTATTTTAAAATCGCAATAACTTTTGAATGAATGAACCGATTTTCACGCGGTTGACGGCATTCTACGCAGTTTTTTAAGCCTCATAAAGAATTCTCAAGTTTTAATTGGTTAAACTAGAAATTTCGGAGTAATTCCGAAAAAACACTTTTTTCGGTTTTTTTTCGTTCACGATATCTCTTGAACGAATCAACCGATTTTGACCGGATTGGCGGCAATCGAAGTGGTTTTTTAAGGTTGAGAGCTGATTAGTTTTTGGAATCGATCGGTATAGCCGTTTAAAAATTATTCCAAAAAAACCACTTCTGAAAAAAATTTTTTTCCTATTTTTTGGAGATTTCTCTAAATTTCTCAAAATCTATCAGTCCGAATCGATTCAAATTTTCAGGAAATCTAAGTTTAGTGAAGCCCTTTCGAATGGCACCAACCGCGATGAAAACGGTTCAACCGTTCAAAAGTTATAAGAGGTTTACATACTTACACACACACACACACATACATACATACAGACATAGTGACACCCTCATAGTCAGGGAATAGTCAGGGAAGCTTCCTAGGACCTAAAAACGTCGAGATCTGATGAAAACTCGATTTTCGAAAAACGAGGTAAATAACTACCTCAATAACTACCCGATTTTTGAAAATTTTCAATTTTCTTAGCGGGAAGTTAAAAATTTAATTTGTAAAAAACTTTAAAAACTGTAAGAGCAATTTTTAAACAATATTTTTTTGTTCTAATTTACTTATTAAAAAAAAATTAAAAACGTCAGCTAACTTTAGTATTATGTTTTAATCCCAAAATGATTAGAAAAAAAAAATGTCAACATTCATCTGGCTCACATTTTAAAGGTTAAAAACGTATACAAAAACAATAATTCCTAATTATAACGAATAACATGGTATAAATTTATTTTCATTACTTTCAGACGTTGCCATTGTATAAAAAAATTTATCAGCGAACTTGCGTACTTAATTAGCTTTCTATTTAATTTTAATTTCGGAAAATCATTCACAATACCAATACGAACACTGGACTGTTATTTTTATTGACAGTTATGATTATTATTATTTATCTGTTCAATGTTGGCAGTGGATACTTTTCCATTTATGTTGTCAGTGTCCATCAGTGGCGCTGCAGTCTAAAATTATAAAACAGCTGACTCAAACCGGTGTAATAATTTTAATTATTCTTGAATTCGTTCTAATTAAAATTTTATTTTATCTTAACAATAAATAATTAAAAAATAAAAATACTACACAAATTTTATTTTTCAATTTGACAACTTAGTGCAACCCGAAAAATATATCAATACAATAACAATAACAATAATAAATAAATATTTACTATCACGTGTAAAAATTGACACCTCATAGACAAAAAATTAAAGTCTAACTGATAAAAGAAAATAATCTACCAGCTGATTGTAAATATAGTCAAAATTTACATTTTGACTGAATGTAATGGAATTTAATGAGAGATAATGTACGGAAAATAACTAAAATAACAAAAAAAAATATGATATTTTTTATAAAAGTCGCATATGTTCCGTCAATTCTAAAAATTATTAATTTGAGGTAACCTGTATCTTCAGTAATAAAATTAGAGATGATGAATAAATCAACAAGCCTAAATTTATAATAAACTTAAAGATTGTATTAAATGAAAACTATAAAAAATGTTCAAAATTGAATCATACATTACACCCATAATTTTAAATTATGTTGGTAAATTTATTAAAAATTTCAAACCAGAACAATCTCAGGTATTGACAGTTTTTTTTTTTTTTTTTTTTTTTTTTTTTTTTTTTTTTTAATTATTTTTATACACAATTTATTATACTAATTTATATTTGAAATATTTTTAAAGGTTTCTCTTTGGGGCGGAGATGCAACATTTCAAAATTTGGATTTGAAACTGAATGTTTTAAATGATGAGTTGAAATTACCATTTAGATTTGTCAGTGGACACATTCATGAACTGTCAATTCATGTACCATGGGTAAAAATAGCTTCAGAACCAATAGTTGTAACCATCAACACCATTGAATGTATATTAAAAATGAGAGATGAGTCTGAAGTTAATAATGATAGTAATTTACAACAAAAAATGAACTATGAAACTTTGCAGTATGTATAATTTTTTAGTTCATAAGCTAATTTATTTTATTTTTAAATTTAATGAGTTTTTTTCTATTATTTTTTTAGAGAAGAAACACCATCTAGTTATATAAAAACTATTGTCACCAAAGTCGTTAACAATATAACAATAAATTGCAACAATTTAATTCTAAAATTTGTCGAAGAAGACATTGTTTTAAGTGTTAATATACGATTTTTTGGAGTGCAAACCGTAAATAATGAATGGAAGCCATCCTTTACTGACATCAATACAACTGATATGATATTACGAAAGTTAATCACAATCGAGGATTTAACTCTCTGCCTAGATCGTATGGATGCTTCTGGTAAAATAGAAATTTATCAAGATCCAGTAGTTTATCGGTGCTCAATGATGATTCGTTGGTTAATAAATTATCAAAAAGCAAAAAGTGATTTAACAGAACGCGAATCAATCACTAGATTTGATATACACTGTAAAAAAATAGAATTTAGTATGACAGAACATCAATTACCAATGATTATGAGGTTAGTCACTTTGATTCTTAATTCACTGCAATCTGAATTGAACTCCAAAGATCGAATGTCATTAAAAAGTTCCGATGGAATAGATCAAATTTCTGTAAGTAGTGATGATAATTTATTTGTGGGGAATTCAAATTCATCAGCTTTAGTCAGACCAGTTAACGATATTAGCTGGGGTTCATGGGCATGGCAAACAGTTACATCAATAGTTCCTGATTGGAGTAATGATTTATCTTTAAATAAGTTATTAGACAATAGTATTCAAGTATTTGATTTTGGGATTTATGTTGACGAAACGGTTTTTACATTTAAAATTACTGAAATAAGTCAAGAAGTTTATTCACGAAAAAACATAAAAGTTAAATATCGACCGTGCATTTCATTACAATTTTCAACCATGTCAGCATCTCTTTTAGTTTATGATATTAATTTTACAACAATACAAATAAAATTGGGAGGTGTAGGACTTTATCCACAAGGAAATTGTACCTGTGGATTCTCCGAAGTTAAAAATAACGTTGATCCCACATTTTATTTAACTGCCGGATCTTTTCAAACAGACTATTGCACAAGTTCACTGTTTGATATAAATGCAGAAGAAAATAATGGACTGACTAAAAATTACAAAGAAATTATTTCTAAAACTCTAGCATCTAAATTTTTTAATGATAATTTTGAAAAATCTCCAGCTTTAATAATAAATTTTATTCATTTTATTGAAATACCTGAAGAAACACCAAGAAAGGAATTGTTTAAATTTAACAGGAATTTTGAATTTAGCAATTTTAAAGAGACTAAAATAATGCGATACTATATTGGTAATTTAAATTTTAAAATATCCTCTGGTATTATTCATCGTATATCTGCGATCGCTGATTTGATTGAAAGTGATTTTTTGGCTTGTTTTAACGATAGAAATAATGATTTATTGATTGAACCTTTATCAACAACTATTGAAGAGTTCGACGCACTGAGTGAATACGTTGCGAGTGAAAAACTAGAATTAATAATTAATCAGTTGACAGTTCAAATATTTTTGGCTAATCATAATGAAATTCGTAAAAATAATGGAGATAATATTAAAAATTTGAAATTTTTATTAGACTATCCTCGGTTAATATTTGAAATAGACAAAGTTGAACTGACTACGATTTCACCGATCTATCCGTTGCGAGTAGTGTTGTGTGCATGTACACAAATTCAAATTCCCAAAGAAATGTTAAATAGTTGTTACAAAACATATGAATTAAATGTATGTAATTTAAAATCTAAATTATATCTATCAGAAAACAATCACATGATATTCCTAACTCCA